CAGTTAATGTTACCTGTATAGCAATGATTGGAGGAGTCAACTACAGTCAATCTGTGATATTACATGGTATGATTATAGTTTAATCAATGTTAAAATAATGCTGTTTATTTTCAACTCCTAATGGTCCTAGTCCAAATAATGTGAGAGGGTTTATATTAAATACAACTAGTATCAAAGTGAGACACAAGTGGACCAATTGAACCAAAGAATGAGTTTGTAGAAGTGTCTCAAAGTAAGAGGAAGCATTGCTGCTAGGATTATTAGTGCTCATGGACTCTAAAGAACTTAATAATTTCCTCTCAGCATCATCACTAGAAGCAGCTTGAACACCACATGAGACAGACTCCACAGCTAAATGCATTATAATAATTTTAATGTACATATACTATTAATTCTTACCAACTGATGATGCTTCTTGCTTTTTACCAGAGTTTCTCCATGATCTTAATGCCTCTTGGAACATTGTTGCACTTGCTAGTTCATCACAGTTACCCTCCAATAAGGAATGACCTTTCTCTTCTTCACCAGTCCCAACAGACAATTGAGAAACATCATTTTCTCCTTGATGTACTTTACCAGCAAACTGCTTCACCTTAAAAAGAGCATTTAATCACAATTATTATTTATTTGTGATGTCTACTTACTGTTGCTTTTGCCAGTGGCCTCGCATGATGCTTAGAAAGAGATCCTTTGTGATGAAACTTGACAAAACACATGTTACAATAATTCTCTACACACTCAATGCAAATCTAATAATGACAAATAATAATAATAATAATAATTATTATTATTATTATTATTATTATTATTATAAGAAGAAGAAGAAGAAGAAGAAGAAAAGAAGAAGAAGAAATAAATGTATATGTACCATGGATGCATGATACTGGTCACACTGCCCACACTGAATCTTCTCCAAAAGAAAAGTATTGAGGATAATGAGAACAATAATAGTTACCAACAATAATAGTTAATAATAGTTAATAATAGTTATAGGTATGTGCTGAAGCATTGAACTGCCCAATTTTTTGATTGCAGGACAATTCAGGTACATTATACATAATATGCATATCTAGTCCCATCATTACTGAGGGCATACATACCTTTTAATACAGGATCAGGCTCTCTACCAGTTAATAGACTCACCCAAATGATTAGTTATTAAATATTTGTAATTAATTTGATGGTATGACTAACCTTCTTATTCTTCCCTAGTTTTTCCACTCCAGTTGTGTTGCTATTGTTCTTCTTGACTGATAGTGCATGGTCCTCTCTTCCCTGACTCCCAGTATGATCTATACATATTGTTTGTACTAGCCCTAGGAACTAGGAAGTACGATATGTTTGAATCAATCCAATTCTAGTTGTGTTACTATGCCTATGATTAGTCTCATGGGGCCAGACTCAATTTTTAGAGTCTGACTAACCTATGGTTACAATAGTTCTAGCCACGCCTTATGCTAAGCAGAGCACAATTTTTGCCTATTATGCTTTTAGCAAACTCTTGCTTTTGGGCCTTGCCCCAAATTCCATCCTATTATCCTTTGAAATGAATCCAATTATGCTCATTATTATGCTCATAGTTTAAGCTTTACTCAAATATCAACTATCAAGTTACATGTGCATGCATTCTGTTACAATTGTAATAATGCCAGGATCTGAAAATGTTCCTAGTGATTTTGAGCCACTGGAAAATAGAATAGTCTAAATCGTTGGGTTCACCACACTTGCATCTGCCATATTGAATTGAAATCATGTGGTCAGGAGTATAAGGCCAGAAACTTTGACCCATTATGCTCCAATTATGCCAGCATAATAACTTGCTCTATTATACTCCAAATTATGCTAGTATAATTTGCCTAGCCCTACAGAGCACTGCAGAATTTGCTGGATAATGGGGTAATGGTATTTTCCTGATTTTTG